ACGAACCTGTGAATGTGAACAGAAATGAGGCTTGTACTGGTTAATATTTAATGACACCAAGTGGGTTTGACACCCAATGGCTGAATCCATTGATGCAGCAGGCACATTTAAATTAAAAGCAGTTTTTTGTTTTTTTTTTTCAATTTATAAATTAAATAAAATATGAATATGCTACTGGCTTAAAGGTTTAACTTGTTCCATTAACACTAACATGAGGAGGAAGCAGAGTAGTAGAGGGTGATCTTTTGACTAGAAATGACGAGAAAATATAATAAAATAAAAAAAAAAAAAGCAATAAGAACAAGAGACAGCTAAGGTTGAACAGTTTAGAGATAAAGGTGGAGAGGCAAACTGCGGATGTTTTGGACAAGTGCCGACGGAAGATGGACCGTCAGGCTGGAGAAAAAGAGGAAGAGCTAAGGAAAGAAACATGGATGCGGTGAAAGAGGGAATGCACTATAGACTGGTGGCGTAACAGTAGAAGAAGGAAAGAAATAGAGCAGATGATTTCTCTTCTACAAAAACACAGGATATATTTTTTTGTCTGCAAGCGGCAAGTGGATAGTTTAAATAAATCATTATATCAGCCAACCGATATTATCGGCAGATATTAGCATAATTATGTAATATCGGTGAGAATCGTTATCTGCTTTTACTCCGACAATGAAAACCCGATCATGCAATGCCTCAGTTTCTAGCAGATGATGTGACGCAGACTGTTAGTGGAATTCTTTTTAGTCGTTTGGCTGGTCTAAATAAATCTAGAGATGTCCGATAATATCAGCCAACAGATTTTATCGGCCAATATTAGCATAATTATGTAATATCTGTAAGAATCGTAATCGGTTTTTGCTTCAATAATGAAAACCTATCAATGCAATGCCTGGTATTCCCCTGCCTTTAACCCAAACGTTGCATATATCGTTATCGGAATCAAAAAGTGTTTGGACAATATCGACATATCGACGAATAGATAATATCGGACATCTCTAAAAAAAAATCCTAACAATCATTGGAATCCTGTTCATTGTTTGGTTCTAGTATTTATTGATTGCGATTTCTTTGGTTTTCTTTGTGATGACTGGTCAAGTGCTTAACTAAAATACATGCCGCAACACTACATGTTCATGGCTTCAAACAGGGCTACTGCAGCAGTCACGTGACAGGTGCTTGTTTTCCACAAAGTCATTCTTAAAAAGGAGGTGAATACAACTCATTACACAGCATCAGTGGAATACAGGAGTTGGGCTAGAGAGCAGACGGCTATTCCCATTATCCCTAATCACTGGTTTGGTCGTATCAGGAAGGGCATTCAATGTAAAAACTGTGCCAAGTCACTATGTGGAACTGCTGTGGTGACTCCAGATGAAAAGACAAGATAAGATGGCTTGGTTATCAGTGGAGTGCAAGAAGCCAGGGGGCAGTGTTGCAGACTTCTATAATGAAAAATCATCTCTTTAAGTCATTAACATTTGTCCTCCACGTGTTCAACTTCAATGCTTCGTATTGCTCTCAGCAGTGATGTTGCTGATGTGTGGCAGCTGTCTTTTCATTCTGCTCAGTTCTATTCATTTAATCTGTCTTAACATAAATGCATTTTTGAACGCATATAAACGTAGGATTTATTTTAAAATGATCATTTGGCACCGACTGTAACAAACCAGGAATTTAGAAAGTGTTAAAGTCCAGTGTGTGTCAGGAAGATCAAGTGAAGTATTCCATTAGGTTCCCATTAGTTTTTTTACCTTGACCTTGGACCAAACATGTGTTCCCTTTGGGGCTCTGAGTCTGATGCAAGGTCATGGATGTTGGCCAGGACTGAACACTAGAGTGATTCAGAGTTTGAAAAAAAAAAAAAAAAAAAAAAACCTGATATGAATCCAGAAAGTGACTATTCACCTGTTACCTTGGCAAAAAAGATAAATAAAAACATTTATTTATTTTCCAATTTCTGTTGGCCTACGAGTACAATCAGCAGCACTTGAGTGTTCAGCAGCTACATTATTGTAGATTTTAGGTGATGATTTATAACAGTAGAACACGGTACTTGTGTGAAGTATGCACTAAAACTAGGTCTCCTATTGTTTCCATTATTACCCCCCCCCCTTTGCTTTATGAAATTTGACATAAAAAATACTTCCTGTGTAGCTTAGATTTTTTTTTAACTTTTCCATATATTTGATTGATGATTAATTGGTAACTGGCAATTATCAATCATAAATACTTGTGATATTATATATAAAAAATGACATGAAGAAAGATATAATTCCTGTTTTAAATAGTTTTTACTTTTTTAATTTTAAGTGTGTGGGTTGCATTTCAACATAGTATCTGTACTGTAGTTTTTTTTCCAATGAGTCCCCTAGACCAGTGTTTGCCAAACCTTTTTTCTGGACACCCATATTTCAAAAGTCACAAACCATAGCGACCCAAGTCAATAGACATTATTCATAAACTCCTGGGAAACATGATGCAAGATGACCCCCAAAAAATGTCTTGCGACCCACCTGAGGGCCGCGACCCAGTCTTTGGGAAACACTGCCCTATACAACCCAGATGTTGGTCAATTATAGCTTAAACTTGTAGATGCCCAACTATACTTGTCTATATTCTATGGAGAAAAAATAAAATATTCCAATTTACAAACACTTAATTATGATCTGTTGACCTCGAGATATAAACCTTAACAATATCCCAATTAAGGGAAACATCCTCATTAATACACAGAACTACAATTATACTTGTTGTTCGCGGAACCAACAGAGCTCATTAGGAGCTGGACGATGCAATTATACTTTGCTTTCTCATATAGAAACACTCACTTCTTCAGTTCAATATATTGATGCGAGACAAAGATGGTGAGTTATACTGCATATATTCCCCTTGTTTATGGGAAACATTACTTGACAGTTTGCAATCAGGTAAAAAACGAAATTTTTGACGTACAACATCCAGAATTGTGTTGACAAGAAGAGAAATGAGGGTGTGACTGTGGACGAGGAGCATCATTTAACAGAGCCTCAGGCACTGTTTTCTCTCCTCTTCCAGTAAGATGCCTTTCCTGCAACTCTGCTTGCTGTTTCATTATAATGAGGCTATGGGCTAAACGTAGCCAAGCATATCAAATATCCTGGAAGCACATACTAAATAAATCATTTTATTCATTCCATTAGTGGTGGATGTGCTTCCCCTGTAAACCATCTTGTGGCCATACTGGCAAACAAGAAACAAATGTTGTGCTTCAGTCTGCCATCGCAGTTGCCGAGATCAAGAAAAAAAACAAAAAAAAAAACATTTGAGTTCTGTCTCTGCAAATTGCAAATGTTCTTCCACATTGGTTTCATGCCTTTCGTGGCGTGCTGTGCCTGCGGTCAGCATTGTTCCCGATTCAACTCTTCACATTTTCACTCCCTCCTGAATTTGTAAGACCTGACATTGAACTGAAAATTCACAAAGGCCGCGCAGATGTGGCGTGAATGAGAGGGTGGGACACGAGTCCAACAACTGAAATGAGGTCTTGATATCCGGAGCGTTTTCAGGTGACTGAAGTGCCTGTGGCTACGGGTTAAGCTAAGTTTGCAGCGGTAGGGTTAAAGGTCGGTCATAGCATAGCAGAAGGGGAGGTTCGTGATGAGAGCAGAGGCAGTGATGTTGTTTTTATGTAGTAAATGAAAAAAAATGATGAAAATTCAGTAAGGTGTGGTGATGGATTTGCATTGAATGAATGTTAAGTTAATAAGGTTAA